TTTATTCTAATATGAGTTGCTGTTGAGTTTTGTTGGCCTTTGTAATTAAATTCTTCTCTATACCCCTGCAATCTCAGGTGCACTCCCTTATACTTATCAAAGAGTATTCATGTCGATGACATTGGCCATCCATAGCCTAGTCCCACTATTGGATATTTATATGCATGTATACAACATAATTAATTATGTACTAAACAAGCATGTATGTCTCTCATTTTCAGTTATTTGCCTATCTAGAATTTTTGTGAAGGGAGTTAACCTTTCTCCTGCTTCCGTAACAACCCACCTACTTCCTATGGTTTCTCTTTGTAGTTGCCTCTTTCTCTACTCATGCCATAAATCCGAGTCTTTCTGAGAAGTCTGTCTTAGGTCTGTTCTCTTTGCAGCCCCCTTAGATGACTTCATATGGCAGTTTGACTCCTGATTCTCAACTCTCTTCTTTTATGTGCAAATCCAACTGTCACCCTTGACTGGCCTTGGCTCAAATTCAGCAGATTTCCTAACTGAATACATCGCCTGTCTCAAAAACCCACTCTGTTTTAGAATTTTCTCTACCACCTTTCTTGCTCAGACTAGAGACCTAGGACCATTTTGAGAGACCTGCTCTCAAAATTCTCCCATATGTTTTTAAAAAAGTTACAATTCCTGCAGATTCTGTTTCTTTAATAACTATTGATTCATCCCTCCTCTAGTTCTGGGATACAGTTACCACTACTATTGGAGCATCTTCCTGAAGTCTGTCTTCAGTTTTACTTTCGCTTTACCAACCTCCAGCAGCTCATTCACCTGGCTTAGGAAGTCCCCTATGGCTCCCCAGAGGGGCACTTTTTGTTTTCTTTGCAACTACTCCATTTCATCAAGCACAGTCATCACAATACTTACCATCCAATGTGGATTCTGCTTGTTTATTTTCTCCCTAGCTGTTTACTGTGAGCTTGAGATCCTGCTTGCATTTCAATCCCTAACGCCTCGCATAGTGAATACTGCACAGAAGGCACTCTGCAAATACTTCTTCAATATTGTTGAGTGTTAGTCAATTTGTAAGCTTTCTAACATTTAAACTCTAAAACAAGTAGAAAGAAATTATCATAAACACATAAATTGCGCAAAGACAAAATCTGGAATTAGAAGTCTGGGATTACATTTCTGGCGCTATCGTTGCCTTGTGGAATACTTTTGACAGAACACAAAATTTTCTCACCATCATGCAATCATATAACACTCATCATTACTGAGTATACCATAAAAGTGACAATCACATCTTGAATTTAAGACCTCCAAATAGTTAGAAGCATTTCTTATAGATGATTTATTTGTTCAACCTCTCTTTGGGGTACACCTTCCTCTTTCCTTTTAGAGGGTAATGAAGGGGGACAAAGCCCCTCCTGTGTTGGTGACAAAATATTGGTCCAGAGATGGTTACTGCTACACAGAATGTCATGAAGATTCATGAACGTGTCTTGAATTTTTATGTTCCCATTAGAGAATGTGAGTTGTATAAGGTATTATGTATTATGCTCTTGTACATCTAGTTTCTTAAAAATTCAAAATATTTTGGGGATGAAAATATGTACAAATTATTTCAGTATTTCAGCTTATTCCTGGATGCTTCATGTTTTTCTGGAGACATGTTTTTTTTTCCCCCACACCCACTCAAGCCATCTGTGTACCAGGCAAGCTTTCTGAGATGTAAAACCAAGTGAAATATGTCCGTTCCATTTATTTAGAAAAGACTATGACTAATGATACTGTGGGAAAAAAATGGCATAGTTAATGAAAAGTGTATTTCCTGTATGAATAGCTAGGAAGCCTGGCAGTTATGACCACAAGGTAAGTAGGTCCTCAAGATTTAGCACCAGAGCTTTTCAAACCAGTGCCTGCAGGAAGCAGAGAATTGGTGTCTACCCAGCATCTAGAGATAACTTCTTTGAAATGGAATTTATCACCACCATTAAATGGTAAAAATACTTTAAAATTCACACAGTATTGCATTATTCCCCCCAGAATATACTATTGTTTGTTTCACATTAAAAAGATGTTTAAATAATCACCATTAATTAAAAATGACTTTCTAGAAAATATAGCATATTTATTCTTGTCTTTAAACACCAGGGCACTGGCTCACCTGGAGGGTTACTTTTATCATGTTTGAAAAGCCCAGGGTCTTAGAATATTGCATCCCAGAATAAGGTTTTTATGTTGGAATTTAAGAAACTCTTCTTATGCCCTCTTTTTACTTTGCTACCTAATTGGTAGCATGTTCACAGTTAAGATGATTGGGGAATAGAAGATCAGCTTCCTCAACTAGAGATTTCCTGTTAGAGGAAAAGGAGCTATCTGAAGTGAGAATTACCTGTCCCCTTTTCTCTTTAGATCTCCAAAACTAGAACTCAAACCAAGAAGTTCTAAAACTTAGTAATCTTTTGTTGAGCATTTTGAAAATATGATCACCCAGAAAGCTGGTCATGCTCAAATATAAGTACAAGAGGTGACTTATTTATACATTCAAATTTCAAAACATTTTTAAGGCCTGCCATGTGTGCTGTTAAAAGGTTTTTAATTTAAAATTATTCTGTTAGATAATCCTGTTTCAAGTGACATTATGATTTATCACCACTAATCAAGATTCTGATCCCTCATAGACTTCTTGTTTGTATCTGTTTTTGTTCTTTGTTACATAAATATGAGGTTTATATATAAAATTTTGACTGTGTAATATTGGGCTAATGAGTCACAGATGGAAAGATGCTGGCACATTACCATCTAATAACATTTTAAACTCGTATTCCATAGTAAAACAAAAGCAAATTGTACACATCTGTTTTCCAACTTGTAGCATTTCTGAGTTTGTGCAGAGACTATGTTTAAAGGACTTTTACTTGGAGAGAAGAAAAAGAGGACACAGGTCATCTCAAAACTACCCAGCCACTAAATAGCCTTATCAGGATGGATTTGGCAACAGGGATGAGGTTTCCTCTGCTTTGCTTCCTGAGAAGTCATAGTGCTAAAGAATGAGAACCAAAGATATTAGGGCTGAAGAAATGTCTTCATACTACAAACCTGATTTTATGGGGTCTCTTAAAAAGAAAAACATATCCCTAACATGGGCAAAATCGGAAAATGTCCATAAAAGTAATCAAATTATAAACCCAGAAACTTTCTGGTTGTTCCTAAAAGTATCTTCAAACTAGAATTGGGTGGGAAGAAGGAAAGCTCACTTGAGGCCATGTGTCACTGTGGTGCTTGTTGATTTGTATGGTAAACATGTTCTGTTGTTTTTTATATTTTTAAATTGGAATAAAAGACTCCAGTTTCGCATGTTGTCAGAAAAGAAATGGAGCAAAGGCAAAATTTCTCTCTTCAACCTAACCAACGGATAATGCCTTTGTGGAAGAATTAGTACATGTTATTGAAGTCCATGTCTCTGAAAAACATCTCTCCTTCATTCTCCTTGGTGAAGGAATTTCAAGCCACTTTTCTGCTTTAAGGGGTTGTGTGAACTGTCAAGTTCTTTTGGAAAAGTTACGTGACAGAAGTGATTACTGCAGAGTGTGACCATAAATCCCCCTGACATGAAATGCACATGTTATAAGAGACAGATTTCCATCTCCCACCTCTGCGGAAATTCCTAAAACGGGAGACCTGAGATTCATCATATGATTGGAGAGAGAAACGTTGATATGTGGGTGGCAAGACTGTATTTTATGCGATGCACTATGTTTATTCTTAGGAATACCCCTGTTCTGACAGCAAAATTCTGTTCACTGTTCTTGTCCAAAAAAAGAATTAATACATGTATTGTATGTCTGAAGTTGTAAACAGAGTATCAATAGAGGAGATTTACAGTGTTGTTTTCATAACAGTGTCTATAGTTATTTCCATTTTGTACTAACATTTCATGAGGAAGATTCCAGAAATGTTAAGAACAGGAAACTACACAGGCATAGGTACAGATCCCATTGTGCCTGCCCCAAGAGGCCCTTAGGGTTCTCAGTCCCACACACCATGCTTTAAGGAATGGCTGGTCACTTGGGAACTGATGTGTCTAATTCTGTTGATGGTGTTCGTAAGACCTGAGCCAGGGAGTTAGTTAGACATTAGGTACGTGCTTGTTTTGTTTGTCCACTAGTGAAATGTCTGTGTGACGTACTGTGTCGTGTTGTTTTGGTGCTGTGCTGTGTCCATAGGGCCCGCCAGGCTTCCCCACAGTTGCTGCCCTGCACAGTAATCAGATCCTCACCGTCAAGGTTTGTGGTTGATACTTATGTCTGCTCAGAACCGCAATCAGCATAAGAGTCAGCAAGAGCCATTTGATTGGCCTGCCCAGCCCAGGTGCTCCCTCTCATCCTAACTGCAAGTGACTAGTGTTGGGCATCTGGAAGGTCACCTGCCTCAGTGAGGTCAGGTGTATATTAAGGGGCTGTAGCCTGAGCAAACTCAGAGAAGGATGTTTTATCAAACAGATCAGTGTAGAGAGGTGGGCATCATGAGCTAGGACCATGCCACACCTGCCTGGTTTGAGTTGCATGTATCCTAATGCTCTATGATATTTCCCAGCTACTTAAGTAATTCTAAGTACTTTAGACTTTGGGCATCAAAGAAATGGCTATCAGGTTCATGCTGCCTTATGCTGGTTGACAAGTCTGATGAAAATGGAACTGGTGCTTCATCTGTAGACTTTCTGCTCAGAATGTAGCTCTCCCCCCAGTCCAGCTCCCCTCCATCTCGGAATGGGCTACACTAAAAAAGACCCAACATTAATACAAAAAGGATTCACTTCTAACTAAAAATGTGGCCTCACCATTCCCACTTCAGGGTTATATGTTTTTTAAGATGAGCCAGAAGGTCTGGTGGCAGACACAAGTGCCAGTTCCGTTTTGTTCCATGGTCATTAAATATCTAATGTGTATATCTTTATTTCTTTCTTGGGGCCTTCTGATGCCTATTCTTCAACTCTCTCATCTCTGAACTTCAACCTTTGACCTCACCTGACTGATCAGATGGTGTTTCCTAAAATCAATCATGGGTTTCTCTCTGCTGATCAGCAGCTCATTAAACGCCGCCTGATTAAGGTAGTGCTGCTTCTCGCTGGAGTCTCATTTCTTCTTTACATTCATATATTGCTCTGTGTTGTGCTTTACCATTTATCTCTTGTGGGTGGGGCGTGATTGGAGGGTGGCCTTTATCCTAGAACAAAATTATGTTTAATGAGCTACATTTGAATTGTATATACAAGTACCAAAATAAAAAGACATAGCCTGCCTAATTTTTGATTAATTAAAAAAAAAAAAAAACTTAAATTGTAACCAGTAAGAGATGCAGTTTCTAAAGTTCTCTACCTTTGGTAATTTATAAAGTATTACATAGTATACAAGAACCTCATATGCTTAATTTTGTAGATTATGAAAAAATATTTGTCAAACTATTAATGAAGCCATGTATAGTGAATATAACTGATATAGCATTGCCATAGACAGAGTTATATAAGCTCTGAATATAGTGATTGCATATGTACTCTTAGAGCTGTGCTGCTGGTTTCTGAGCTACTTTGATTTTAATGTTATCTACTCAGCTCTTCCAGTGTGAATATTTATTTGCTCCCTGCTGGCAGGTAAATTGCCTACAGGCTCCGTGTTTCTGGTTCTTTTCATTGTGTAAATGTGGATGATACAAATTGTTGAAAAGTGTACAAAGTGTTGAAAAGAAGACTTGGGTGTTCAAATTTGATGGTTATTGTTGGTCTGTTCCCTTCTCCTTTCCAGGGTGACCAAGGTCAGGCAGGGCCTCCAGGACCCCCAGGCCCTCCAGGCCCACGAGGGCCACCTGGGGACACAGGGAAAGATGGCCCCCGTGGAATGCCAGGAGTACCTGTGAGTTGCCTTCTGGATCGGTGTTCTCACAGGTTTTGTTTTGTGTTAAGGGCTGAGAACTATAAAGGAGCAGGATGGGGCTATGGGACCAGGGAGTGAAGTGTGGGGAGGGGTTTGAGGAAAGTGGGTTTGAAGGGCCCTCCCAGCAATAGTCCACTTCACTACCCAATCCACCTGGAATCCGTGTACACCACAGAGACTTGGAGACAGCAGCTAAACTGGTTTTCAGGTAAGCCTCAAGATGTTCATGACCGGAGATGCCCCATCTTACAAGTGTCCTGCCTACCGTAGAGTACGTCAACCCATGCCTTGGCTTAGGCAAGAGCTTAGTTGAAAAAATGTAAGTGCTGGATTAATAACATTTCCCAAAAGACTCAATTGCATACACAATAAAGTCCCATACAATGTATGGAAAATAAAGGATGTAAATTAATACTTAATCTCTTATAAATAACTTGATCAAAAAATAATGCCAAAAAGAATAGCACGATTTATGGTTCAAACATCAATGTTTAATGATCTTAATACCCCAGTTCTCCTTTGTATGTAAAGTTTATTAATAGAAATCATTTAAAAGTGATTTCAATACTTAGTAAGATTAAGCAAGTTTCAATAATGTCAAAGTACAGGCTAGATCAATGATATGGTTTGATAGAGGCAACCCAGCCATGTAAGGAAATATATGGAAAACATTAAAAATGTGAAATTAATATTATGGCTTTAGGACTAGAAATTAACATTTATTGCCAAATTAAATTTTATTTAATGTATTGCTTTAACTTCAACCATCATTAATTCAAGAGGACCAAAATTTAAAATCAATCTCTAATCATTTTGTGGTTTAATTCCTGCACTAAGAGCAACTGTGTGCGCATATATATATATATATA